AGAGTTTCCGATTCTTATTTCCTGAATAATAGCTGAAAAAAAAACTAGCGCGATCGAACATACTTCGAAAACAATTACGCTAGCATAGTGCAACAATGTGAACACGTCATGTTGCTTAGCAACTTTGGAGATGAAAATTACGTGCACAGTCAGTTCGCGGAAATAATATGTTGCTTGTTCTCCCGGCCCGTTTAACAATAGTCTATCTGCGGCTTAGTTGTGACATGATTATGCAGCTACAGCAAGTAGCTTTAATTTTAAATCTAATCACACTATACAACCGACTATAGAACAGCACATTATAACAGCCGTCCATGATTCAAGCATATTATCAAGCTGATTTTGACAATCTTTTGTGGCATTATCAGTCTGTTGATTTTTCAAAGCAGTCCCAACCAATCACAGCCATGCAACGACTTCACATGTAGTTTAACCTTATAACTATTCTCTTTTCTTGAGAGATATCAGCAAAATGTCACATCGTCTTTCTCTTTGTTCATTTCTTGACCACTTGTCATTCTACAAGCACAGAAATGACACCACGAACATCACCAACACGGCAAACACACTGTGAGATGTCAAAGCCATCGTTCCGGCACCTTTTGGTAAAGAGTAAAAGGGATAGTCATTAGTCCGTGCTCTTTTATCTAACGCAGTATGTATAATGTTTGGAGCGAAAATATGCACGGTGGATATTTGTCCGCGGACAATGTCCAAGGACAAATATCCGTGCATATTTCTAAGCCAAATGGAAACTATTGCGCTTATCATCCTTCAAATATTTTTATCCAAGGCCCGCTCTTTTTAGGAGATCTTCGCCAAGCTGTTAAACGTCAAAATATTAATTATGTTAACGTTAAAAATATTGCTAGTGTGTTCAAAACGTTCCGTTCTATACAATAAAAATTTATTTGAACGAAAACTGAACGTGCGGACGTAAAACGCAAATTTTGAAAACTGGGGAATATCACTTGGGGAATATCACCGGTTATAATCCATCAAATATTTTACTCGCGCGCCATTGGTCTAAACACGTCACGTGACGCAGCCGAAACCTATAATGGATTCCAAGGACCTTACCGAGGATAAACCGCTGGCAGTTATCTTGGACATTATCAGAGCAGTTGGATGGAAGACAACAGTAGTAAAATCCACGGTCAGTGTACTGCACATCAGATATCGTGAAAATGTAAGGGTCGTAAACACTGTCACGGTGAATCTTGTAATGTCCACTTGACCCATCTGACAAAATAGACAACATTAACCCCTTTAGTTCCAATTAAGTACAAAATATTAATCCTCCCTCTTCAAATTCGCATGACACACTTACTTATGCAAGACTGTACTGCTTGGTCCTTCCTTTTAACCTTCCATTCAACCTCAAGAGGAAATCCTCTGGCCGCACACTCAAATGACACGTCACCTCCCTTGAATGCCTTCTCCTCAATATCCTCCTTTGGTTTTGGAAGCCACGGAGCAACTAAAGTGAATGAACAAAGTACATAAAATGTATCACAATTAATTATTATTGTAAAAAGTGGAGCAAGGTCAATTCCGTACATGAAAATGTACCGTGTCTACAAATATTATAAAGATAATTACATGTATGTACGTACATGTAACATTCATTTTCATCAGTCATCAGTTCATAAGACGCCAAGTGGCGCATATGGCATAAACAAGGTCTCACCAATCCTGGTGGTCATTTGCAAGCCATGAAGCTTGGCAAACCAGGCAAGGTTTAGAGCCTGGAGTTCTGCCTTGTCTGCAGTCCTCCTCCAAAAACATTCCTTTTGACATTTGACAATTATTCCAGTGATTTACTTTACAACGTAACTTTTTTATGGCAAGTTGATACATGTAGGTTTTTGTGTGGGCTTACAGTGTCGGTCCACATAATGCCACAACTTGATAAGTTGTTGAACAAATTTTTCCAAGATTCCTGCTTCAGTGAATTTAGCAAGGCGCGATCTCAAGACACATCTCAAGAGAAATGAAATGAGACTGTCAACTTAGCTTTGACCAGTTCTGCACAAGCACCAGTCATGTACCATTCAAAACAAAACATAATGACTAAATGTACATACATGTACTGTATAATATTATACTGTACACTGTACTTACTGTGAATCATAGTGTCATCTGACACATTGTATGCTTTGACATTCCGTAACAGCACTTCCAGCAGACAGGTATAATTCCCTCCATCTCTGACAGTAACAGATTTAAGCTTAAGTGGACCAAGTGTGTCCTTGGAATTTTGCGGATCTGGATTTCGCACACTTTCTAACGGCTTGCCATCTTTAAACCAAGAAATCCTCTTCAGTGGGGTGGACAAACTTCCTCTTTCAGTCAAGTTGCAAACGAGTGTGATGTCGTCATTGTGTTGCAAGATACTGGTATCAGGGACAACAACTATGGGAATTTCCTTTCCTAAAACATAATAATAAACACACCAAAACTTCACTAACTTGAACCCCAATAAGGGACTGGTAATAAATTAGCAGGGGGGGGGGGGGGAAGGGTGGAAAGAGGGGGAGGGTCATAACTTTTTCAGCCCCTAAAAAGGGAGGGTCACATAAATTTACACTCATGGATATACCAGAGTGCCAGTCAAATTCTAGTGTCGGATCTGTCAGAGTCAGATTAAATTTCAGTGAGTACTAAGAAACATACCTTTCCATATCGATATCACTTTGTAGCTTTAGTCCCTACATGTAAGTAAGAACTGGCCAATGCTTAGCATGCAACTTTTGAGTTATTGGTCGATGCATGCAGAAAGTTGGGAGAGTACAAAAATGTACAATGTTATGTAGCTTAAGGTGAAGCCAGGAGTAACACTACATGTAGCTTCACAAGTGTCGCCCGACTTCCTTGGAAGTGTATTCATAACTCGATAAATTTAATGTACATGACTGTACAGCTACATGTAAAGCATGGCCCATTACAGGTTTATAACATACAGTAGGTACTGGGAATGGTGAGCCAAACTGCCTTCTCGGACTGGAAGCCGGAGAAAAAGGCCACATCTCTCATTGCTATTCTACATTTTGTATATGTAAATACCGTAACCACCATATTGAATTATGTTAATTTTGAATTCCAAATAAAATTGACAAATAAATAAATATATGCACAACTTTCTTCTCAGCATTGAGTTACAGAGGAAAAGGGACTATTTCCTGTCGGTTCACATAATGTTTACACGTACAGTGTACCTGTACGTACAGTGTACATTGTCAACAATCAGATTTTTCAGGACAGTGTTCTTACTTGTGATGACGCTGACACTAAAGCCATGCCGCGCCCTCTCAAAGACATCGCCCACTGCAAAAGCGTGACACTCATAACTTCCCAGTTGGTCGAACAGGCTGTCATCTTCCACTGTTACATTTCGGATGAATAAGGTAACAGACAGCTTTGTGTTATTACCTGCAAATTAAGTGTTTGGGGTTTTAGCTGGAAAGGCACAAGATGGCGTTGTAAAAATTAATACAACAGATCAATTCAAAAAGTAGCGAGAGTTGTTACTTTGGGTTTTGCTGTCCCGGCGTATTTGCTCAAAACTGTTATAAATGCATGAAAATGGTCCCTAAATCTATGAAATAAGAGCTTAATAAACTCTAACTAAATGATAAAAAGCAATTTCCTCAAGAAATTCCATACTGCAACAAAATTTTTGCAAAATTTCAAAGATTTCCGAGCCAAATTTGAAACTTTGAAAAACTGACATCCTGACGTTTTTTTTCGAAAATCCATATTGCAATCCATTTCCATCCTCGCTGTCGTTTGTCATCCTCACTTCCTAATGGGTTCCTGTCATTTGTCGAGTGCTATTCTACAGAATTAAACCATTATTGATCAACTTCCTATGATCTAGATATGTTTCTGAGCTTCCCAAAATCATGCTAAAATCAGGACAGTGTCCCTTTAAAGTCTGTCTACAAGCCTAGTGACTTCCCAGGGGGTACTCCCTTATATATGCTACATGTATTAGGTACGTGCCGCTGGAGAGGGTATGGTTTTTAAGCATTTTGGTCTGGAACAGGGTATAACAAACGCCATTTTGGGGTCTGGAACAGGGTATCAGTTTCCCAAAAGTTGGCACAAAGATCGCTAATTGATACTCTGGAATAGGATTATGTTAGCCAGACGAAACAAAACACATAGGAAAGAAGCTTTACAACTGCTGCTTACTGGTTTAGCCTTTTGGGTTAGAAAAAATCGTTAAAAATCGTCCCCCCCACCCCCCGCCCCCGGGAGTGACTTATCAGGCCAACGCTTTTCAGGACAGCTGGCCAAGGGAGACCATGGCTAGCTACATGTATACTGTACATTGCAGCTTTGCGCTACATGTATGTATAATGCAATGTTTTGTTGAACAGTTCCTTTTTGTGAATAGAGGAAAATGAGGGCCACTTTATTTTGGCCTGGGAAACTGGCCTGACTGGCCACCAAGCACTGGAGCTAATTTTTAGCCCTGGTTAAGATTTACACGAAGGCTCAACAGGACATGTACCACCCACCGTGTATTATTTCTGTCTTGTTTTCAAAGGACAGGTTGTCATTTGCCTCTAGCTTTACATAGAAATTATACTTGTCTCTCCTCATAAATTGGATTTTACTGGGAACCTTTAATCCTTGGGAATCAAAAGCAACACAAGTCACTTGTGCTGAAGTGTACTCCAGTGGATAGATGTTTTTCGGAAAGGGCTCCACGATTCCAAAAAGAGAAGCTGAAAGAGAAGAAAAATAAGTGTAATCAAAATAATAAAAATAATATTACATTTCAAGTTTCGTTTGTAGCTTGCAATCAAAGAAAAAAAGCAACTGTGATGGTTTTTCATGTATTAAATCTTTCAGTTCAAATATATGATTATTAATTTTCATATTATTTTATTCACTATGGTAACCATTACATGTACATGTACATGTATCTTCATCTTCTACGCATACATGTATATACATGTATTATGAACTCACAGTGACAGCTCCTAGTTGGTTTGATAGCTCAGTTGGTAGAGCACTGCATCAGTATCGCAGAGGTCATGGGTTTGAATCCCGTTCAAGCCTGAATTTTTTCAGGCTTTCTTCTCGCAACTGCTTAAGGTGGGCTGGTGCTATTTATTGGAGCGGAGGCTCCCTTTGTCGCTGAGGATACCAAAAAACTTCCAAGTTCACAGTTTAAGTTCAGTTTATTCGCAAAATAAACAATTAAGAGATACAAGCGCTATTAGAAGCAGGCCCGTAGACAGGATTTTGAATGGGGGGGGGGTGTGTTAGAGTGGAAAAGTTGGGGTCGTACGAGCGGCGAAGGTTCGAGCTCCTAGGGGAATCCGGGAAATTTTGAAAGATTAGGTTGTCTGAGACTGCATTTTGTGCGGTTTGAAGGCAGTATGATATGAAACCAGGCAGCCAATAGCGAACGTAAAAACATGAATATTTCTGGAACTGTTCAGTTAAAGAAAATACCGATGAAAGAATACTAAAAATACATAATGCGGACCTTCGATTAAAGGCATTTTTAAGCCAAAGGAGTGAATATTTGGATGAAGAAAATGACTCGCTTGATGTTGTCTTTGTTGATGAAGACGATATGTTAACACGTTCAAAGCTGCGATTGTTTGATTCAGACTTCATTTTCAAACTACACCTGTCCACTATTTCACTTTCTTTTGAACCGTCGGTCCACTATAGGTGGACCCCCATCGCACCCCCCCTCCCTACGGGCCTGAGAAGGTCCTTTTTCTTTTAAGAAAATGTGAATATTTTCATCAAACAAAGATATTTTTTTTCTAATTAAGCTCAATAAGTTCCAAGACTTTAAGGTTTACTGTGAGCAAGTTTCCACAAAATCGGCTGGATAGAAATTGCTGCACAGTTGACTGCTGAATTTTAGCTTCAAAATAATTTGCTTCTGTACATGTATTTGCTTCAGCTGTTGCAAGAACGCTAAAATAATGCTAAGATCGCACCTACATTTATGTACCGTAGAATTCCGATAATAACGGCCCCCGTTATTTTCGGATTTAGCAGGCCAAAGGGGCCGTTACTTTCGGGTAGCCGTTATTTTCGGGTAGCCGTTACTTTCGGATGCTTAGAAAACGTTTGTAATTCAGCAGTGGTTTTACACAAAGAGGACGCATAACAGACATAAAAAAGGTCATTCAGGTTGCATGCTGGTTATTCATTATCCATGTAAAATTAAACAAAGTGTAACAAAAAAGGCCCAAATGTTCGTATACTATACGTCGAAAATATTGTTCGTATTATATGACAACTAATTACTGTGATCACACCTACAGCTTTGATCTGTTTTTATACCCGTATGTCTGTTTCAAACAGGATTCTGTAAGCTTAAAATAAAATCACAAATGATTCTGTACTTTGATACCGCACCTCTTGAAATGTTACATTAAATACAAAATATATATTATTTTTTTTGAGTGGTCATTTTTTAAGGGGCCGCTATTATCGGGGGGGGGGGGGCGTTACTTTCGGGGGGGGGGGGCGTTACTTTCGGGGGTTTAATAGCAAGGTAAAAAATTAACGTTACTTTCGGGGCCCCGTTATTATCGGAATTCTACGGTATTATATTACTGGAAAGCTTGATACCACCTAAAGCTTTGCTGAATAATCGGAAAAGATTGGAAACTCCCAGTAAAAGCTGTAAGCAAATAAAGAAGATGTTTATAGTGCATAATTTTTGAATTTCAAGATATTCAAGTTTATTCGACTTAACTACCAATAATAATAATTATTTCTCAAATCCTCAATTTCTCAAACATCTCAATAACTTGAACCAAAACTTGTTTCCCTTGGATTAGTTTCACTGTAATTTACCCTCGATATTTTGAACTCCTGACTTCTCAAACCAATTTTCACTTTTCCCTTTGAGGTTCAAGAAATCAGGATTCCACGGCAACTTAAGTCAAGCAAACAAAGACGCGATAAAAAGAATGAAAATGAAAATGATGAAAATCTGTTGGAGTCATAAAATCAAATTTACATTTACACAAATATGTACAGTGGCTCCAAATGCCTTGTTTGAACTGGCTAAGAAGATTTTATCATTGCATTTACGTGTAGGTACATGTTGTTGCTTTTCATAAATAATATTAGGCAATGCAATGGCTGGAAAAGTAGGGCCCGGGTTGTTCAAAGGATGAATAATTCTATCAACTGGATAAATCACTATCCAACGGATAGCGTAGTATATTTTGTTAACACTTATTCACTGGATAGCGATTTATTCCGTGGATAGAGTTACATGTATCCATCCTTTCAAACCATGCGTTACATGACACAGAAATGTCCAGATCATTATTTTGTTTGGTTTCAACTACTGCAGTAACCATACAAAACACTACACAACATTTCTGATACAAGAGACATTAAAATTTTAATACAACATAAGAAATAATTCAAGTCTTTGTTACACTGTACATTAAAATAAAGAACCTAAAAACACCATATGGCATAGGAATAATGAAACTACCAAATTACAAAGATGAGTTTGCAAAAATTCCTGATTGGCAAAATAGATTTTGATATTATTTGTAAAAGTTGATAACTTTATTCAATGTACATATAAAACACATTTTATGGCAATCAATCCACACAAATAATTATTGTTCAATTACTATGATCTCGAAGCCAGCAGATACACTGAAGCTATGAAATTTTCGCATGGAACAAAGGCATCGCTTGCAAAAACCTGTCGAACGTTCGATCCGTCACGCTAAATGTTCCGGATCGATTCGAAAGCTTCGCCAGGGAATTGCGATACTCTTGACAAATGCTCCAAAATTTTCAAAGGTAATTTTAATCTTAAACTTTAAAATTACTACTGAAGGTCCGAAAACCACTTTATTATTTATAACCACCGCAATAAAATGCATCGCCAGTAAACAGGTTCAAAAATTTGCATTGACAGAAATGTACAGCGATGCTTTAGTCTTTTGACAGAAGAAAAATAAAGGTCAAATACAGCAACGAAATATCTCCAAGCGAACGAAACAGCATTCTGAAGATTTGTCTTTACTAAGGGAAAACTGGGAAATTCGAATCCATCAATTTAATTTCAAATTTTACTGACTTTGAATCGGCATGTTCTTGTCGCCTTTCTTCGGTCTGTTGTTTTTAAAATTGCATGACAAGATTTTTGAGAGCCGCTTATACTCGCTTTTAGCAAGCAAATTTCCATCACATGCAGGGGGATTGTAAAAAGGGTGATGGAATCTTTATGATTTCCCCAGGAGTCCTCAGGAAATCTTAAGAAGAAAAGTCCTCTAGTTTACGTTTTCCTTCACAGATACAATCCCCCTAAGCCCCAATAATAATAATAATATTAGTATTATTACAATCTTAAGAATTCTCCTTCCTCTATCCTTCAAACAGCTTTGGAACTATCCCTTATCCCGCTCTATTCCCCAACTGGTCAGTTTAAAAATAATGCAGACTTAACAGATAACAGTCATGGAATCGCAGGTATTTTTTGCAGGTTATGCAGGTCAACTGCTCGCCCATCTCTGAGTAGAGAGCATGCACACCTCAAAAACAATGTATGAGATCGCACGCTTACTTATGCGAAACTGATACTCCAGAGAACTGAAACTTTCTCCTGTGGCTAGAAACCTGAGTGTTGATGCCACTCGTTCTGAAGCTGAGATGGGTTTTCGCATCGTGGTGGTTCTCTTGGTAATTTTGTGGCTGATTTTGTCCACGAGTAGTTGAAAGGTCACGTAATCCATACGCATAAAGTTTCTGAACGATGGCAAATCTTCCGCCGCTAATTCCTTGAAAATATTTTCAAATGTTCCTTTCTCCCTTCTTCTCGTAATCCAATTTCTGTCGGGGCCTCTCGTTCTTTTTTCTTCGTCGTCTTCATCCATCAAAAATGCAATTACAACACCCGCAGCAGCAACTCTTCCCGGCGCAGCCGCCGCCATGTTTGTTGGTAGCAATTAATAAAACAAACATACGTCATTTAAAAATGACGTCGTTTTGCATAGCTCGCGCATAATATCGCGTGTTCGCAGCATTTGTTTCCCGTAAAATGTTTCTTCGTTTGCGCAGCAAGGAAGTAAAACATTGTTTTGCTGCCCGCTCGGGCAAACGGGGAAACATTTGCGTCCGCAACAATGCGTCCGCAACAATGTTTCCTCGTTTGCCACGGCCTTAAGGAAAAACTGGGAAATTCGAATCCATCAATTTAATTTCAAGATATACTTTGAATCGGCATTTTCAGTAGTATAGGACATGGGGGTACCGGCGCATTAATTCATCAGAGGATTTCATTAGATTTTTCCATTACATTTTTGAATCTAGGGGGTACCGGCGCATTAATTCATCAGAGGTTTTCCATTAGATTTTTCCATTTTTTGAATCTATATGTTATTTAAAACAAATGGCACCAACACTCAATTTCTTATTATGATCTCAAGCGAAGCTAGAGAGGGTCAATTAAGCTCCTCGGCAACGCAGCGAAGCGAGTAGGGGATGGAGGAGCGGTCAACATTGTCACGATGGCGGGAAAAAGCGAAGCGATGGAGTGAAAGCCCTCTCTCTTATTATGATACTAAGTGTGTAGAAAAATCAAATGGAACTATATTATGACTTCTATATAATGGAAATCATTTTATGAAAACCATTTAATGCATTTTTCCATTGCGTGACTTTCTCGGATGGTTTATTATGATAATCATTTTAAAGGATCCTGAAAAGAATGATAAGTTTAAGAAAGAATGATAAGTTTAAGAAAGAAATATGATTTTTAGTTGTTAATGGCATAATGCCCGTATGCATAACTATTGATTCCATCATCTAATATATATCTTTTGTCATCAAAACAACTGAGTGATACTTTATTTATTTCATAGCTTGCAAGTTGATGGTTTTGACTTCTTATAGTTTTCATTTCGTGATGCATTTGCTTGTTATTAAATAGTGTGTTTTTATAGTCTGTATGTTGAATATTCTTTTTAATAATGTTTTTTTAATCCCCTTAGCTGTTTTTCCACCTTTTTGGTTGTCTTTCATATAGCTATACATTTTTGATCGTAGACCGATGA